AGTCCGGCCACTCCCTCTCCAATGCCCAGCCCGGTAAGTGGAGAGTTTGGCAGCTGTTTTGCCCACTTTCCCCTCCCCCCAGCAGGAGGCCCCTTTGCAACCCTGGAGGCTGCTCCTCCTCCTCCTCCTGAGGGGGCAGTGGCTCCACCTTCTGGCTGGCTGGACTGGGGGCCTCAAAAATGCTCCCCCTTGGGTTGCCCCCTGGTGATTCTGTGCAGCTCTGCGGCCCCTCCCCCTCGAAGGACCCAGGAGCCCCTGGAAGGGAGGGCTGCTCACTTGGGCCGGGGAGGGGGCCTCTGATCCCGATCGTTCCTCCCTCCCCCGGGCTGTGGAAGGGGCTCCCAGGAGCCGGTAGCGGGAAACGGGCCTTTGTGTGGAGGGGGGCTGGCCTTGATGGCGCCCTGGGCTGCTCTGCAGGAGAAGCGCTCGGTGCTGCGCAAGGTCTCTTCCCCCCGGAAACGGACGACCAAGAAAGCGCGGCTCAACCCCCTGGTGCTGCTGCTGGATGCAGCCCTAACCGGCGAGCTGGAGGTGGTCAAGGAGGCGGTGAAGGAGGTGAGCTGGCGGCTGGCAGCCCTCGGGTGGGGCACCTTCCCTTGACCGAACGTGCTGCGGCTGTTACGGCGAGTGGCTCTTGGTCTCCTCTTAAGGCGAAGGGCAGCTGTCCAAGGCAGGTCGGTCCCAGGAACTGCAACGCCCTGCAGTATTGAGACTCCAGCCCTGGAATAAAAGGGGGCTCGTGGAAGGGAAGTTGCAGAGCTGGACTGACCTGTGGGGCCCTTGGGGCTCTCTGAGCTGGCGGTTTCCTCGCACCCAAACTAGGCAGCATCCTCAGTGCCAGAAGGGAGGGGGGTTTGCAGAGAGGAAGGGAAGGGAAGGAAAGAGGGGGAAAAGGAAAAGAGGGAGGGGAGGGGAGGAGGCTGTGGGGCCCTTGGGGATCTCTGAGCTTGGTGGTTTCCTTGCAGACTCGTTTCATTAGCAGAGTAGGTCACATCCCCACTGGCAAGCAGTCCGCCACACTCAAAGGGCACCAAGACCTCTGCAATGGAAGCGGGGGGGGGGGGGGGGAGGGGGGGGGGGGGGGGGGAATAGGTACAACCAGACTGCTGGGTCTCTGGGTAAATCGGTTTGAGTGGGACAGCTCCCCGCCTTTTCTTGCCACAGCTGAACGATCCCAGCCAGCCGAATGACGAGGGCATCACCGCCCTGCACAATGCCATCTGCGGGGCCAACTACAGCATTGTGGACTTCCTGATCAATGTTGGGGCCAACGTCAATTCCCCTGACAGCCACGGCTGGTGAGTCCCCGGGCTGGGCAGCAGGAAGGACGGCGGCCTCTGCGGTGCTTCCTGCCCGTGGGGAGGAGGTGCCCTGTGTGCCCGTTGCCCAAACACGAGGGGGGCCTTCCCTGAGCCGGCCTGCCTGCCTTCCAGGACCCCCCTGCACTGCGCCGCTTCTTGCAACGACACGGCCATCTGCATCGCGCTGGTGAAGCACGGGGCCGCCACCTTTGCCACCACCTTCAGCGACGGGAGCCTGGCCATCGAGAAGTGCGACCCATATCGAGAAGGCTACAACGAGTGCTTCAGCTACCTGGCAGGTGAGGGGGGGGGAAGGCCGGCTGGCTGGGGCCCCAGAAAGGCAGGAAAGCCCTGGCAGCCCTTCGATTCTGCTCAGGGGCACCAAGAGGGCCCCGCTTGGCCAGCCTCCCTCATTTCTCGGGTGGCACCGACTGGCGGCACAGACGTTTCTGGGGCAGTGAAGTGTGTGGGGGGGTGTGCTGCTTTCTCATGGGGGGGGTTTCTCTTGCTGCAGACGTGGAGCAGAACATGGGGCTGATGAATAACGGGGTGATCTACGCCCTCTGGGACTACAGTGCCGAATTCAGCGACGAGCTCTCCTTCCGCGAGGGCGAGCCGGTCACTGTGCTGCGCCGGGATGGCCAGGAGGAGCTGGACTGGTGGTGGGCCTCTCTCTACGGCCAGGAGGGCTACGTGCCCAAGAATTACTTTGGGGTGAGTCTCGGGGGCCGGAAGGTTTGCCCTGAGGGAGCCCGGGGGGGGGGGGGGGCACAGGCCGGAGGGCCGAGCAGCCAGGGTGTCCTGCTTTCCAGCCCTGGGGGGCTGCCGGCTTTCTCCCCTCAGCCTTGGTCTCTCGCTCCTTTCCCAGCTGTTCCCCAGAGTGAGGCCGCAGCAGCAGCAGCAGCAGCAGCAGCAGAAGACGTAAACGTCCATCGGAGGGGGAGCCCGACGGGGGGACTCGCATCTGTGCTTCGGCTGGCCACCCTCTGCTTTCAGAAGGGCGAAAACGAAGAGGGAAGGGCGGCACTCAACCCTTCCACACTACCCCCCTCCTCCCACCGCCTTCCTTGCTTCTCTGTGTGAATCCCCCCCCCCCCCCCCCGCAACCCAAGAAGAGCTTTGGTGCCAAGGCAGCCATGCGCCCCTTCCCAGACAAAGGCTGGCCAGGGAAATTGGCACCGTGCATCTGGGGCTTGGCTGCACTGGGGGGCTCGGCCTCCAGTTCTCCTCTGCCCCAGTTTTGCTGACTTTCCTCTGGAGCTGCCAGCACGGTTTGCCTTTGGTGAAGCTCCTGCCTCCCAGACTTCATCCTTGGGGCCACAGCAATGCGGCTGCCGCCACACTCGCGGTCGGTGGGGCTTCTTTCTTACCTTCACCAACCTGCCCCTTTCCAGATGGGGCACCCCTGGGCTCTTTTTGCATCTGGAGAAAGGGTGAGCTGCCTCTGTGCAAGGACAGAGTGCAGAAGGGTGGGTGGGGGCTCTCCAGTGGTGGCAGCCACAGCCACCCAGGAGCTGAACAGCAGTCATGGGTCCTGTGGTCTGGACGGAGGAAAGTGTTTGCTTTCAATGGACGAGGCTCGACTCCAGAAGTTCCTTCTCAAAAATTTTGACAAATCGTGCCTAAAGTTGAACCCCATTGTGGACTTGATTCCCTGAGGTTACAGCTGATGTTCTGCCAGGGAGAAGGGAATGTCCTTGGCTGCTTAACTTGAGTAGCTCAAAGCTGAGAGGGAAGAAGGCGGGGAGGTGCCCCCTGCCAGCGGGGGGACGGGACCCAGAGTGTCTGCCCTGCTGAGAGCCAACAGAGGCCGTGCAGCTGGGCAGCAGCTGGGCTCCTTCCTTGCTGGTCCTGCCCACAGGCTGATGTTCCAGCTGCAGCAAGAGAGCTTCACATGATGTTGGTGGTCATTGTGCCTACTCTGAAGCTGGAATGATCATTGGGGTGGGAGGGGGGGAGGATGCTGCCCCTGCCCAGTGCCTTCTTTTTGCCCACCTGGGCAGAAGCTGCAACTTGCGTGCCAAAGCTTGGATTCTGTGCCTGCCAAGGCAGCGTGGGGCCTCTGTGAGAGCTTTGCCTGGCCAAGGGGCCTCTTCCTTTCACGCTGCGCCTTAATTTGGGCCGGGATGCTACGACGTCTCCCGAAGCTTCTGGGGTGCCTTTGGTTGGCGCCAGGGAGGCGATTTTGTGCCTTTAAGGGGGGATGGGGCCTTTCAGGAATAGCTCTATGCAGGTTGGGGGTCTGTGACCTGCAGGTCCCACATCTGAAGGCTGCTTCAGTTGAGGCTTGGCTAGACCTAGATCCAGGGAGGGAGGAGCAGTCGCTGGGGAGCCCTTCCTGGGATTGTTGGTAGCCCTGGCTAGAAAATGTAGCATTCCATAATAAAATGGTCTAACTGGACAAAAGTGGTAGCTGTGTTCAATGCGATGGGGGGGCTCTGTGCAAGGAGGAAACATCTGGATGTGGGCTGGAATGCCACCCACCCACCAATCTGCGTAATGACTTCAGAGGTGGCCTTTCTTGGACAGCAAAGGTGCCCAACAGGCAAGCACTGGAGCACATGACGCCAGACATGTCACTAGAAGGCAAAATCACATCCCACTTGCTTTGGCCACGTCTTGCAGAGGAATTCAATGGAGAAAAAAGCATTTGTGTTGGGAAGAGTTAGCAACAAAAGGAAGTGTGGCTGCCAGAGAAGACGGTGGTTGGGGACAGTCAAAGCTGGCACGAGCCAGAGCAGAGAACAACTCAAAGAAGCGCAAGATCGGAAGGTGTGGAGAGACCTGGGCCACAGGATCGCCAAGAGTCGGTCTCAACTGATCGGGTAACATCCTTGCTGTATGCGAGCACAAGAGGTTGCCCAAAACATGCAACTGCACCTCTGATGGGGTAAAAATCACTTTTGATTTGAAAAGGCCAGACTGACATTATGCAGATTCCATTATGATTTGGGTGACTTTGATTCAAAATGGCCCTGCCCCAATAACGCTGGGCTTCTCTGGGAACGGGATGCCAGGAGTCCCCCCCCACTACAGCAGCCTCAGCCCTTCCATCTCCCTGCCTTCCCTTGCAAAGAGCAAAATGCCCCCAGCAGGGTGTGAAAAGGCCTGCTGGACCAAGGGGTCTCAATGAGGCCACTTCGAGAGCTGGCTGGTCAGTTTGGCGTTCATTGGCAGAAACGTCGGACAGCCGTTACACGCTGCTTCTGTTAACCTAAGTTTACAGCAACTGTAGCCTTGTTTTCTCCTTGGATCATTTTTTTCCCTTGTAATAAAACTGCATTTGATTTGGAATAAACCTAGCAACAGTCATAGATGATTTACAGCAAATGGGTCATTTCTACAGGAAACCTCGGGTTGGGTTGCTGGTAAGGAACTGGGGTGGCGGGGAGCTTTGGGGGTTGCATCTAAATGATGATGTAATTAAGGAAGACAATTCAACGGGTGAAGAACGCAGGAGGAATTGCAACCACTTTCCTCCCGCAGCCTGTCGGTCCCAGGAGCGCACAGCAAGATTTCAGCCTAGTGGGGCAAGCTGATGAATCCATGATGTCTGAATTCGGCTTCTTCAGCCTAAATGGCAGGCACGCCGTACGGTCATCTCTTGAGCGGCTCGTGACGCCTGCGCGCTGCGCAGCCGAACGCGGGGCAGGAAGTCTGATAGCGGGCGGAGGCGGGCTCTTTTCAGATCAGCCACTGAGGCCGCCGCCGGGGAGTGTGGTGAGCCAATGGGATCGAGAGCGATAGAAGGAGCAGAGAGGCGACCGAAGGAACCGTGTTCCTTTGAGAGGACCGGAGTGAGAACTTCGCAGCAGCGCCCCGCGCCGCGGACGAAACCATGAAGTGAGCGGCGGGGGGGGGGAGGGCGTCTGGCAGACACCACTCGCGCGGGGGTCGCCGGAGGGTCTGCCGGGCGTTTGCCCTCTGCGGGCTGGGGAGGATGGGAGGCGGGGAGGGGGCCGGCCGGGGCGCCGGGGGCGGTGTGCCCGGGGACGCTCGGCCACTCGCTCCCTCTGCGCAGGCTGAACATCGACGGGCTGCTGGTGCTCTTCCCGCACGACTACATCTACCCCGAGCAGTTCTCCTACATGCTGGAGCTGAAGCGGACGCTGGACGCCAAGGTGGGCCGGGGGAGGGCGGGGGGTTGGGTCAGGACTGGAACTCAGGTCCCGCCTCCGCGCCCCGGGCCCCCGCCGGCCCCTGACGCCCCCCTTCGCCCCCGCAGGGCCACGGGGTGCTGGAGATGCCCTCGGGCACCGGGAAGACCACCTCCCTCCTGGCGCCCATCCCGGCCTACCGGGGGGGGGGGGGGGGGGGGCCCCCCCCCCCCCCCCGCAGCCGGCGGCCCCTTTCCCGGCGGAGACTGCGGGGTGCGGGTGGGGGACCCCCTCCGACTCGGCCTGCTTTTCTTCCAGCAGCCCCCCCCCAAGCGTAGCCCTCTAAGCCCGCCCTCTCCCCCAGGCTTACCCGCTGGAGGTGACCAAGCTCATCTACTGCTCCAGGACCGTCCCGGAGATTGAGAAGGTACCGGGGGGGGGGGGGGGGGGGGGGGGGGGGGCCCGGGGGGGGGGCCCCTGGGAGGGGGGGGGGGGGGGGGGGGGGGGGGGTGCGTCTGGGAGCCTCTCCATTGCCAGCCGCTGGGCTTCTCCCCCCTCCAGGTGATTGAGGAGCTGCGGAAGCTGGTGCACTTCCACGAGAAGCAGACGGGGCAGAAGCTGCCCTTCTTGGGCTTGGCCCTCAGCTCCAGGAAGAACCTGTGCATCCACCCCGAGGTGCCTCTGCTGGCGGAAGGGCCGGGAGGGCTGTTTGGGGAGCCCCCTCGGCCACCTGTCCTCCAGCCCACCACCCTGGGCGGCAGGAGCGAGAATGGCCCGCTCTCTCTGCTAAGAGTTCCCGGGCCACCTGGGGCCACGGCCACTGAATTCCCTGGGAGGCAGGGAGGTGATGTGGGGCCCGTGCCCCTTCTTCTCAGACCCCTCCCTTCTTGTCATAGGTGAGCGGCCTGCGCTTCGGGAAGGAGGTGGACAGCAAGTGCTTCAGCCTGACTGCCTCGTACATCCGGGCTCAGCACCAGCAGGATGGCAGTCTTCCCTCTTGCCGCTTCTTTGAGGTAAGGCTGAAGCGCACGGGGACAAAGGTGGGATTCAGCAGGTTCTGGCCTGTTCTGGAGAACCGGTAGTAGAAATTTTGAGTAGTTCGGAGATCTGGTAAATACCACCTTTTGACTGGAGATTTTTACAGGATCCATCCCCTGCCACGCCCGCAGAACCGGTAGTAAAAAAAAATTGAATCCCCCCACTGGTGGGGGGTGCAGGCAGTGGAAGGCCCCTGGGAGGAGGGCCGGGTGGGGCCGTGGACTTCTCCCCTGGGGCGCAAGAGGCCGGAGGGAAAAGTGAGGTGGACCAATGCTGCCCCCCTCTTTTCCCCATTGATCTCTGTCATTCAGGGGGGGGGGGGAATTTCAGGAAACTCTGCATGAAAGTTACACAAATGTCCAGAGGCATTTTTTCCCCTCAAAGTATGTTTGGTGGGAGAAATGCCTTTTGAGAAATTGAGCAGCCGAAAACCATTTTGGCTTGTCCGTAAGGCCGGGGCCAGGAGATTCGTTCAGCCCTGCTGTGATTCCCTGCAGGAATTTGATGCCAGCGGTCGCCAGGTGCCTCTTCCTTACGGCGTCTATAACTTGGATGACCTGAAGGCCTACGGTCAGCAGAAGGGCTGGTGCCCCTACTTCCTTGCCCGCTACTCGGTAAGAGAGCTGGCTGGCCGGCTTGAGGACACGAGCCCCCTCCCCTCTAAGGCAAAAGGGGTCTCCTTGAAGGGTCCTGGGTGCTCTCTGAGCTTGGTTGTTTCCTTGCAGGCGTTTCATTGCACAAACCAGGTAACGCCATCCATGCTAGGAAGGAGAAGGGTTGGCTCTCCGTGTGTTTGCGGGGGTCTCTTGGTCAGATTAGCTCTGGTGGGGGCAAGACCCTGAGATGCCAAAGGAGAAAGGTGCTGCTGCAGCAGCAGAGCCTGAGCTAGGGGTGCCTGCCAAGAGCTGCACAGCGACCGAGTAAGGTTGGTCCTACGGGGGCCTTGAGCCTCCCACAGCAGTTCTGTCAGGAGGAGATTCAGCACCCCGAATGCCAGTTTCTCATCCCGTTTTTCTCTGAGCGTTTGAGCCCAGAACCCAAATCGCCCGTCAATCTCCCAAGGCGACGGTCTCATTCTGAAGTTTCCCTCCGTCCTCAGAAAGTCTGCCTAGGTAGCTTTGCAGCGAGGGGAGATCAGTGCATTTTAATTAATTAATTTAATTAAGCGTATAGGTAGTCCTTGACTCACAACAGTTCGTTTAGCGGCCACTAAAGTTACAATGGCACTGAAAAGTGACTTATGACCCATTTTCACACTTAACGACCGTAGCAGCATCCGCCTGGCCACGCGATCAGAATTGGTAAGCGACTCGTATTTAGGACGGTTGTAGTGTCCCGGGATCACGTGATCCACTTTTGTGACCTTCTGACAAGCAAGGGGAAGTCAGATTCACTTCACAATTGTGTTACTTAGCAACGGCAGTGATTCACTTAAAAACTCTGGCAAGAAAGGTTGCAAAAATGGGGCAAAACTCACAACTGTGTCGCTTAGCAAACAGAAATTTTGGGCCGAATTGTGGTCGTAAGTCAAGGACTCCCCTGTCTTAGCTCATGGATAGAACTGGGGCTGGTCCTTTAGTCCTCCCTTTGAGAGTAGAGGCGCCTCGGTACAGGAACCGATCCCAGAAGCCTTATATGTTCGCTGCCCTCCGATTCGCGTTGGGGGTTCCTGGGTTCCTCCTGGCCCAAGGCCAAGCTCTGCTCCGCTCTCTCTCCCCACCTGCACCAGATCCTCCATGCCAATATCGTGGTCTACAGTTACCACTATCTCCTCGATCCCAAAATTGCGGACGTGGTCTCCAAGGAGCTGGCCAAGAAATCGGTGGTGGTTTTCGATGAGGCTCATAACATCGGTAGGTGTGAGAAGGGCCGGGGAGCGGTCTGGTGCAGGACTCGAATTGGGCCGCCTGAAAACTACGCTGGGATCCAGTTTCTCCCTTTAGAGACGAGTCGCTCGACTTTTCCCACTGCAAGGCTTGTGGACTCCAAGTCCCAGAATCCCCTGCCAGGAACCCTCCTTGAGAGATTAACTCGGTTTAATTTGGGTGGACGAGAACTCAGCCAAGCGGCCTGGAAGGAACCCAGATTCGGGGCTTTTTTTAGTTGCAACTTTGTCCTTAGTTGATGATAATTTTTCTTCTCCTCTTAAGTACAGGTAGTCCTCGACTTATGACCACAATTGAGCCCAAATTTCTGTGCTGAGACAGTTGAATTTGGCCTCATTTTTGATTCCCCCCCTTGTGAATTGAATCACTGCAGTCGTTGACTTAGTCACCTGGTCGTTAAGTGAATCTGGCTTCCCCATTGACTGTTTGTCAGAAGGATGCAAAAGGAGATCGTGTGACCCCGGGACCCTACGACCGTCATAAATATGAATCGGCTAAGCATCCAAATCTTGATCCTCTGGCCAGGGAGAGGCTGCAACGGTGCTAAGTGTGAAAAATGGTCGGTCATAAGTTACTCTTTTCAGTGACGCTATAACTTTGAATGGTCACTCAGTGAACTGTTGTAAGTGGAGGACTGCCTGTACTGTAGAGGCCCCCGGGTTAAAACCTACAACTGTCGGCATGTTGCCCCCATGAGCCTCGTCCAGGTAAGCGATGGAGGTTCGCTTTCGTGGACCCCTTTGACAGCCCTACTGGCCCCCCCTTCCTTCTCCCCCCTTGACCCACAGACAACGTCTGCATCGACTCCATGGGGGTCAACATCACCCGGAAGGTCCTGGATCGCTGCCAGGGGAACGTGGCCACGCTCCAGGCCGCCATTCACAGGTGAGCAGGATCCGCTCCTTCCGCCCCCTCCGCTTCCTGGCCTCCTGCTCTGCCCAAAGGACGGAGTCCCGGGCTGCTTGCATGCACGGCATCTGGGTTGGGAGGGACCCTGGAGGTCTTCTAGTCCAACCCCCTGGACCGAAAGAGGCTGCCCAGGCTCTCTTAAAAGCCTCCAGGGTTGGAGCACCCACACCTCCCCTCCCCACGGCCCCCTTTCCAGGATCAAGGAAACAGACGCCCAGAAGCTGAAGGAGGAATATCAGCAGCTGCTGCAGGGGTTGCGGGAGGCCAACGCCGCCCGGGAAACAGACGTCTATTTGGCCAACCCGGTGCTGCCGGACGAGATCCTGCAGGGTAGGTCGGCCCCTCTGTGGGCAGCGGGGTGGAGGGGGCGGGGCTGATGCTTAGGTGCTGGTGGGGTGGGAGGGAACGCCGATGGCTGCTGCGCCATCCCGGCCCTTCGGCCCTTCGGTTGCTCCTGCTGAGGGAGGTGGCCTTGTGGCCTTTGATCCCAGCCCTGAGACCTGCCTTGGAGCCGCTGCCCTGACTGGCCCTCCCCTCACGCAGAGGCCGTGCCGGGCAACATCCGCACAGCGGAGCACTTTGTGGCTTTCCTGAAGCGCCTCCTGGAGTACCTGAAGTCCCGGCTGCGCATCCACCACGTGGTCCAGGAGAGCCCCCCGTCCTTCCTGAAGGACATCTTTGAGAAGGTCTGCATTGAGCGGAAGCCCCTCCGGTGAGTGCGGGCAGGAGAGGACCTTCCCCTCCTCCCTCCCTTCCCCCCACCAGGCCCATCCTGCTAAGCCTGGCTCCGTTGCTTGGAGGGGGCGGGAGGAAGAGCCTGGCCAGGGCCAGCGGGTGGTTCCAGGCCGGCCTCACGTCAGCCTCGATTCCTGGGTTTTGGCAGGTTCTGTGCCGAGCGGCTGCGCTGCCTCCTTCGCACGCTGGAGATCGCGGACATCTCCGATTTCTCACCCATCACCCTCATCTCCAACTTCGCCACCTTGGTCAGCACTTACTCCAAGGGTAGGGAGGCTCCTTCAGCCAGCCGGCCTCTCTTTGGGGGCCTCCCAGGCCTTGCAGTTCCTCCCCACCCACATCCCTCCCTCGGGGTTGGCAGGCGGAACCTGGGAGGGGCCTGGAAGGCGCCCAAGAGCATTGCAGCTCTGCTGTCGGGAGGCAGCCATCTTTGCCGAAGGAAAACCTCCGCGGCTCCTGCGCCTGCCGGCTTTGATGGGCTTTGGGAGTCTTTGGAGTCAGCACAGATACGTCCCAAACGGAGGCGCTTTGGCCAAGGGCATCGGGGCTTCCTTGGTTCTGTTCCTGGAGAGGAAGAAGCTTCCAAACGAAGAAATACGAACTGAAGGAGCTTCTTGGACGAGAAGGGAAACGTTTTCAAAGGAAGAGGACAAGAAAGTCCAGCGGCCTTTTGCGAAAGCGCCTTTGGGGCAGCCAGAGGCCCCCCGAGACAGGGTCAAAGGCGGGGGGGGGCAGGCTCGGATCTTCAGAAAGCCCTTGATGAGGCTCTGAGCTCCCCAGGGGATCCAGGGGGCCGAGGCCGGCCTTCCCCGATCCCACTGGGCAGCCAAGCCATGTGGGGGGGGTGTCCATGCCCCCCTCCCCCACCCACCCCCGTCAGCGCCTCTTCTCGTTTTGGTCCCCAGGGTTCACCATCCTCATCGAGCCCTTTGACGACAGAACGCCCACCATCCTCAACCCCATCCTGCACTTCAGGTGAGGGGCTCCGGGGGGCCAGGCTCTGGGTGGGGCTGGGAAGGGCCTGGCTCTGCCCTCCCTCTCCTGAAATGGGGGGGGGGCTGCCTGCCTCGCCTCCAGCTGCCCCACGCCAGGCAAACCTTCTCTTCCAGCTGCATGGACGCCTCCATCGCCATCAAGCCCGTCTTTGAGCGGTTCCAGACGGTCATCATCACCTCGGGAGTGAGTGCGGGGGGGGCCTTCTTGGCCAGCGGCAGGAGCCCCCTCTGTGGGGCTGGAGGTGGGGGAAGCTGCCACCCTGACCGGCTGCTCTCCTCCCTGCACGTAGACCCTTTCCCCCCTTGACATGTACCCCCAAATCCTGGACTTCCGGCCGGTGACCATGGCCACCTTCACCATGACCCTTGCCCGGACCTGCCTCTGCCCCATGGTGAGTGCCCGAGGCCAGGAGGGGACAGGCTGTCCCCCTCCTCCCCTCCCCTTCCTGGGGGACCAGGCAGGCCCCTCCTCAACTGGCTCCCCTGGGGCCCTTTCCTCTCGTCGTCTTCCCTTCCAGATTGTGGGCCGAGGGAATGACCAAGTGACCATCAGCTCCAAGTTCGAAACCCGCGAGGACATTGGTGAGGGTCTTGGATGGGGAGGGGGCAGCAGAGCCCTTCCCTGGTCCCTTCAGGCTGCTTAGCGGAAGAGGGGAGGGCAGGGGGAGGGGGGGGGTGGGCCCCAGGGGATTGTGGGGGGCCGGGAAGGCCTGGGAGCCTGAAGGGAGGGTGTTTCTCCGGCAGCCGTGATCCGCAACTATGGCAACCTCCTCCTGGAGATGTCGGCCGTGGTCCCGGATGGCATCGTGGCCTTCTTCACCAGCTATCAGTACATGGAGAACATCGTGGCCTCCTGGTATGAGCAGGTACGCCAGGCCGGCTTGGCCCGGGCTGCTTTTCCCGTGTGTGTGTGTGTGTGTGTGTGTGTGTGTGTGTGTGTGTGCTTTGGGGGCCTTCTGCTCCTGCCCTGAGAATTTCGAGGGGGGGGGGAACACTCAAAGCCTTGTAAAATGGGGGCCGCGTTGCATCCAAGACCAAACTGGTCGGCTGGCTCTCGGTCAGACGCTCAGCCTGTCTTGCAGAAGGCCGGCCTGACCACTGTTTGATTTGGGGAGGGTTTCCCTTCCCCCGCTGTCCTGATGGACTCCAGCCTCCCAGCTCCTCTTGTGCTCCTGCCAGGAGCCCCGTTGAAGGCGCTCAAAGCTTATGCCACGCTCCCTGTGCCCAAGCGCCTGGCCCTCCAGTCGGGGCAAACTGGCCCTAGATAAAAGTCAAC